CCCAGGTGTCGTCCTCCATGCCTTCTGCTCCTCACACCTGCTCCCTATCCGGTTCCTAAGTCCTGCTGTGTCTGACTCTTACATAGCTCTTGATCCCTTTGCCACCTCTCCACCTGCCTAGTTCCGACCTCAGCCTTTCTCTCCAGACCGGTCTGGCCGCCGCCTCCTCTCCCATCTCCTTAATGCCCTTGCTGCTAGCTTTCTTCCAGTCCTACCAGGCAGGGAGGCCCAGGCGACCACCCTGACAAAGAACAACAAACCCCACCGAATCTCCTGCTTGAGCTTTCCCCCAAGGGTCCCCAGACCCCCCCCCGGGGACAAAGGGCATACTTTGATCCTGGCACTCAAGGTCCTCTGAGTTTGGGGTCCCTGCTGAACTGACGCCCCATCGCTCCCTTCCCCTAAGCGATACTAGCCAGCTGGAGTCTGCCCGTTACCCACCGATCCTATAATATCCACCCCCTTCCTCATCCTGGACCCCCTGCCAGGGACCCCTCTTTCTCTCCTATCATCCAGGTCAGCAGAAGTCACCCCAGAGTCCCCGGGCCCAGAGTGGGTGCTGTCTTCCCAGGCTTAGAGGGGGGCGGGTAGGGGCCCATCTCCCAAGAGCACTGGTAGCAGAGAAGCCTGGAGTTTGGGCAGACAATCCAGGCTGGGTATAGAGCCGAGTCTTGCAGCCTGGCCCTCAGTCTCGTCCCTGAATGTCTGGAAGGAAGGAGGAAAAGGAGGTGGGGAAAGAAGGGAGAGAAGGATTCTTCTAGAATCCTGAACCTGCCAGGCAAGACCCACACTCCTCTGGGAGGGGGTGGGGACCCGTATACCAAGGAGCTAACCTCTGTGGATCTCATTGTCTGCCTTTGCCAAAGGAGAGAGAAACTTTCCTGGCTACCTTCCAGGGAGAGCAGTGCTTCCCAAAGTGGGGATGTCGTCCCCTGGCCGGCACTGGAATGATCCAGGCAGTACTTCCTACTCGAGGAAGGAAAGCCTGTACTTTCCCAGAACTCTCTTCTGCCCCAGTGGCCTTGGGATGTCCCCACGGCTCCCTGATGCCTGGTCTTCCCCCCTGAGAAGTGGGCATCTGGGGTGTGTCTGCCCGAGTGTGTGCTCATCGGGGGCCATCAGGGAGGGCCTTCCCCTGGAGCGGGGAGGGAGGAGGAGGGAGGGGGCCTCGCCCCTGGGCTCTGGCCCTCATTTCCTTCCTTCCTTCCTTCTTCAGGCCAGAGGTCAGTGACGAGCTCAAGGACCTAATCCTGAAGATGCTGGACAAGAACCCCGAAACAAGGATTGGGGTGTCTGACATCAAGGTGGGGAAACCAGAAGCTTAGGGCTGGCCTGACTGTTGACCTGGGAACCAGGCCTCAGTTTCCCTTCTGGAGAGGTCTCCAGCAGGACATGCATGCTTTGGGTTTGGGATTGGGTTAGTAGGCATTGGATCCCTCTCAGGGACACTGATTGGTCAGATGTGCATCCGGAGTTCCTTGCTGGTTGGGTGTCTGTCTGCTAATGGACCTGACCCCTCTCCCCCTTCCTGGTCTCTGTAGTTGCACCCCTGGGTGACCAAGAATGGGGAGGAGCCTCTTCCCTCAGAGGAGGAGCACTGCAGCGTGGTGGAGGTGACCGAGGAGGAGGTGAAGAACTCCGTCAAGCTCATCCCCAGCTGGACCACGGTGGTAAGAGACCCGGAATAGCTGGCTCCCTTGTCCGAGGCAGGACACTTGGGGCCTGGGAGGGCAGTGTGTCTTACCCGAGGCCGGCCCAGTCTGTGCTGGGTCCCGTGGGAGGGCGGAGGGCTATCTAGTCCAGCAGCCACAGAGCTTGGCCAAGTGCTGTAGGCAGGCTGGCCCAAAGCTTCACCCTCCCTGCTGGGTCCAGGCCTCCCAGCTGGCTGAATTCCTGCCCTCTTTGCTTACTTGACTCTATGGGACCCTGGAGCCTGTCAGCCCCCCTGGGGTCCCCACCGCCACCACGCTGGACTCAGCTTCCATCGTCTCGACAGTCTCTAAGTTACCCTTCCACTTCCGCCCTTGCTCCCGCTATTGTGAATGCTCACCTCAGCAGCCGGGAAGGTTCTCAGCCTGCTCACTCAGGCTCCTGTCTCACCCGAAGGAGCACCCTGGCAGGACTGGGCCTGAATGGGCCCCACCCAGCCTGTCTTCCCGCCTCCCCCAGTCCCCTGCTCCCCTTCCTGGGCTTCAACCTGCTCTCATGGAGACTGTACTGCCGGGATGCACCTCTGGAAACCCCTGCAGCTCCCTCCCTCCCTCCGGTCTTGACGCCAAAGTTGCCTTCCTGAGCCTGCCATGGCCCCTTAGCTGACACTTTAACCTTCCCATCGGGTCCCCCAGTGGTGGTGTGGTGGTTACCTGTTGGGCTGCTATCTGCAAGATTAGCAGTTCAAATCTACCAGCCACTCTGCAGGAGAAAGACAAGGCTTTCGACTCTCATAAAGCTCTAACAGTCTCAGAACCCCGCCGTGGGCAGTTCTACTGCCCTCTAGGGTCGCTGTGAGTCAGAATGGGCTCGATGGCAGTTGAGTTTGGGTTTTTGAGTCTAAAGGAGCCCTGGTGGCTTAGATGGTTATCCGTGGGGCTCCTAAGCACAGGGTCCGCGGTTTGAGCCCAACAATCACTCTGCCTGAGAAAGAGGAGGCTTATGCTCTCCTAAGGACCTCTAGCCTTGAAAACCCTGGGGAGGGAGTCTCCTCTTCCCTGCAGGGGCTCCATGAGCCAGAATCCACCTGCTCACAGTGGGTTTGGCTTTCTGGGTCATTCCTTGTCTTCCTTCTTCATTTCTGCCTCCTTAGCCCTTAGCCACCGACACCGGTTTTACCGACATCTCCTATTTGCCCAGCCCTCTCATGGGAGTACCAGCTCTGGGAGGGCAGGTGTTTTCAGTGGACCGATAGAGCCCGAGCGCCTGGACCAGCGGTCCAGCAGGGGGTGGGCACGCAACAGTTGAGTGAATGCATGAAAGAACAAGTGACTCAGGTGTGTGCGTTGGTGTGCTGGGGGACAGAGGCAGGGAGGGGTCCTTGTGGGAGAGGAGGGACAGAATCGGAGTGCCACCACGGTGTGTTGTCCAGGAGGGCCGGGCAGCCTGGACATTCGGTTGCCCCAGCTGACTTCCTCGGGCACGGCATCCCCTGAGCTCTTCTTCCTGGGTTCTGAGGCCGCTTCCTCTGAGCTGCTTCTCCCAGCCTCTTGCTCATGCTCCTGCTGTCACTAGGATGTGTTAAGCCCTGTCCCTCCCCAGTGCTCCCTAATGATAAGTACCCAGCTGTGAGCCCAGCATCCCAGCCCCCACACCGGTCAGTCCTGGCCACCCTGCTCCTGTGCAGAGCACAGTGGCCCCCACTTCCTTACCGTTCCCAGGATCCCCTGAACCACCAGCCCTCGTGCTCCTGCCCTGTTCTCTGCTGCTCTGAGCACTCTTGCTTCTCTGCCCTGCCTGCCGATCAAAATGGGCGCCCCCAGCAGCCCTCACAGAGGCCACGGGCCCGGGTGACCGCCTCACCCACATGTCCTCCCCAGATCCTGGTGAAGTCCATGCTGAGAAAGCGTTCCTTCGGGAACCCGTTTGAGCCCCAAGCGCGGAGGGAAGAGCAATCCACTTCCGCTCCAGGAAACTTGGTGGTGTAAGTACTGGGGTGGGGGGCTGAAGCCTGCAGGGCACTCCCAGTGGCGGTGGGGGGTGTCTCTGGCACATCTTTCCCGTTGCGATTGGGCTATGTGGAGCCTGGGGACTTAGTCAAGTGTCCTCAAAGCTCATTGGGGGCATCAAGGGACACCCCTCGCTCACATCCTTCCAGGGATGAGGAGCCCACTGGGCCTGCTTCTTGGGAGAGGAAGATCCCTTCTTTGGGAAGTGTGATGGAGTTCTGGCCCAGCCCTCTGGGGCCTCAAGTCTGTTGCTCTCTAGTCGGGCTGTGGCCTGGGAGAGGTTTGGAGACAGGCCTCCCCTAGAAGGCTCATTCATCTGCAGAGGGAGGACCCCAGGGAAGTGCTCTGTCTTGCTTCCAGCCTCTGCCTCGCTCTGTGCTCAGCCAGCACTTTGTCCACCTGCACCCACCCGCCCACCTGCCCGGTGGTAAGTGTGGGCAGGCCTGCTGACTGGGCCAGGGCCTAGGGATACTGAGTTGGTGAGTACTTACTGTGAGCCTCCGAGGAGAGTCCAGGGAAACATGTCCCAAACCTCTCCTCGGGTTTCCACTGAGATAAGTCAGGCTGGAGTCCAACACGGCCCGCCGGAGTCATGTTCACAGAACTGCAGAGAGAAAACCTGGATGGGTTCTGGGCAGAACTCAGTCCTGGGTGCCCCACACCTTCCCCTGTGGCCTGCGAGGGGGCTGCGGAGAGGAGTTGGCTGGAGTTGCCCCTCCCAGCGGGCTTTGCAGGGCCACATGCTTCTCCTAGAGAGGTGACCGCTGGGCGGTGACCAGGCACCTTGACCTCTCCGAAAAGGAGTTTCACTTATTGCCGGTCCAGGGCTGCAGGGGTTGGAACCCAGCACCCCTGAGGGACTCATCTTGGTCCGCATGGTGTCCACATACCAACCTTTACTTCCGCACAAAGGGGCTGCCTAGGAGGAGCTGACGATTCCCCGCCTCTTCAGGAAGATGGCAAGGGGACAGGGTCCCAGAGCTCATCTGGGGCACAGGTCTCTGATGCCAGCCAGGACTGGGCCCAGTGTAGGGAGATCATCTATATAATTTAGCATCCAACTGGGGCCCTGTCTTTGCTTTGCTCACTGTGGTGACTACGTAGGACACAAAACCGTCGCCACTTCTCCATCTTCCCACGTACAAAGAGGTGACGTTAACTATGTCCCGCCACACCGTTCAGCCATCGCCATTAACCATCAGTGACTTCCCGGATCTTCCTATCACCTTTAATAGAAGGTCACTGTTACAGGGAAATATTTGTGCTTATGCCAGGACGACAGGCATGAACCAAGACTATGCCCAACAGCCTGAACATCCGGTCACCTGACTCAGTGCCTGAGGAGCCCTGGTGGCTGGTTTTGCATTGGGCTGCTAACCGAAAGGTCAGCAGTCAGCAGTTCAAATCCACCAGCTGTTCCAAAGAGGAAAGATGAGGTTGAGTCACAGATTCAGGAAGCCGCAGGGACAGTTCTGCCCTGACCTATAGGGTCGCGATGAGTTGGATATGACCCCACAGCAGAATGAGTTCAGTGTTTGTCACCTGGGCCCCCCTGGAGGTGTCACCGAGGAGCTCTGCTGGTGTCGGGTGCTATCAGTTGAGCTGCTAACCACAGGTCAGCAGTTCGAACCCAGGAGCTGCTGCTCCGCAGGTGAAAGCTGAGGCTGCCTGCTCCTGTGAAGGCTTGCAGTCTTTAGAACCCACAAGGGGCAGGGCCGCTGTCCCGGGACTCAGAATCGGCTGGAGAGCAGAGGGGGGTCGTAGTATGACAAGCCAGCCACAGGTGGTAGGAACATGCAAGCCCAACAGGCAGACCCGTTTCCTTGCCTGGACGTTGAGATCATGCTTCACCTTCTCAACTCCGGCCCCAAGTCTGTGCCCCTGGTTTTGTTTTGAAAAGCAGGCTTTCTACCCTCAGTGTGGAACCCCTTCGTAGACTGGTCTTACGGAATAATGGTTGAAACCCTACAGGAGCCTTCAGTGGGATGGGTCCTCATTTGAAAGGTCCCTAAACCCACCCACTGGTCACTTTCAAAAGAGAGGTGGGGGCAGGGTGGGAATCAGAAACAAATCCATTGAACAAGTGACCAACGCTGGTAGACCCTACCCTGTGGACGAAGCAACAGGAAAATGCAAAAGTAAGCCCCTCTGCCCCAGGCCACTGGGGGCTGGGTGGGGGCCGACCTAAGCCAGCATGGAGCGGCCTATGACCGCTGATGCTCCACAGAGGCAAGAAGTCAGCCGGATTCAATCGGTTAGGACCCCAAAGGCCGAACTGGAAGCTTAGACTTGGTCTTGGGGACAGCAGGGGAGACCGGTAGGACCCGGGAGGTGATATGACGGGGAGGAGACAGGCCCGAGCTCGGGGAGGTGGGTGAGAGTGTACTTGAGACCATGTGACCATGTGGGATCTGCGTGCCGCATGAGGCGGCTCAGAGGGATTGAGCAACAAGTGTATCCCGGGTGCCCCTGCTGACCCTTGAGATCCCTCTGCCCTGCTGTCCCCTGAACAGGAAAGAAGGGTGTGGCCAAGGGAAGAGCACGGAGCTCCCTGGTGTCCAGGAAGACGAGGCTGCATCCTGAGTCCCCGCATGCTCCCAGGGCCACCCGGCAGCACGCTCATATGCACCTCCAAAGGCCTGCCGCCGCCCTCATGCACACAGCCACCCCTGCAGGCGGGGGGCCAGGGTCTGCGCTCCCTCCCAGCCCCCGACCCTGTCGTGCTGCATGCCCTCCACGCGCACCCAGGGGCAGGATCGGAACACGTGTCCTCTGTGGTTTTGAGGACAGGCCGTGGTCAGGCAGGGCTCCCACAGGCCTCTCTCCTCCTCCCGACTGTCCTTGTGGGGAAGACTGGTGGCCCCCGGGCAGTCCCTCCGGAACCCCATCTGGCCGGTTGGCCGGGCCCAGGCACCAGAGGCTAGAAATCAAGATGGCAGCGGCAGAAGCCTGGTCTATCCCAGCTGTGGAGACCGCTCTCTGGGGGCCAGGTGGGCCTGGTTCAGCTATCCTGGGAACGGTGCCGTCCCCCACCCCACTCCAGGGTCTACTCACAGCGCTGAAATGCGGGATCTGAGCCTCTGGGAGGGAGCACAGTGTTGGAAAATCCAGATTCCTTTCGTCTTTGGCTTTGGTATTCACCGGAGGGGCCAAGTGTTGCTTGGGAACATCTGCGGAGCATGCCTGTGGCCAGGTGGCTCCCAGCACACCCCACCTGGATTTGACAGCCAAGTGGACTAGACCGCCGCCCTCCTCAGACTGTTTTGCACTTAGAACCGTCCAGATGAAGGGCTGACTGCATCGGGCTCTGGGCAGAGGCCGGAACCCAGAGCACATTGCCTTCCCACTCTCCTCCCCCGCTTCCTTGGGGCTCCCCGAGTGACGTCTGCAGAGGAGACACCAGGCGCTGACGTTGGCGGGGCCCAGGATGCAAAGGCCCTGAAATAACTGGAATCCAGACTCCGATCTTTAGCCGGCTTCTCTGCCGTAGGAAGCCGGCCTTGCATTCCTCTGATGAAGGACACAACTGCCCGGACTGGAAGTGGGAGCCCCCCACCCCCCTCCGCCAGGGGTGACACGCCTGCAGGTGGCCCCCGAGAGGTGGCCCGCCCCCACCAATGCTGCCTCCCGAGAGACGGTTATCATTCAGCCTCCTCAGAGCTGCAGTGCCCAAGCTCGGGTGGAGACAAGGCCATCCTAGACCCGACTTCCACCTCACTTCAGGACCAGTGCCCACTGATCCGGCTGGCTGGCTAGATGTTTACTGGCCAAACCTCATAGAGGTTGACACCCCCCCCCCACATCGCACCCCCAAAGGGAACGAGAGCAGGGCTTAGACACCTTCCCTTAAAACATGGGCCAAACGAGGGATTTCAGCCACGGACACCCCGCAGATTTCCCGTTTGGAGGCTAGGCAGGGCAAGGGCCCCAGGCCAGAACCCCTCAGTGTTGCATCCTGCTGCGTCTCCATGCCTGTGGGTGTCCATCTTGCCTCATGTGCACACGTGCACGTGCCCATCAGCTGCACACAGCACTCGCATGTCTTGCACTGGTACATGCATCTGTAATCCACTCTGTTCACGGCTGTGAGCAGAACACGGCCCGTTATCGGTGGGTCCACGTCTCTCCTGTGGCTCTGCACTATGGCAAAGGCCACGGCAGCCGGGCCTTCACAATAATCTGGTACTGTTTTTAACCACACTTTTAGTGAGCGTGAAAGGGAGCCAAGTTTGGAGCCAATCAGTCACAGAGGAGCATGTCTTTCTTGGACATCTTGGGGCTGGTGCCTGGAAGTTTCGAGGGGCCCTGGATTGGACCCCCAAGGGCAGCTCAGAAGTGGGGTGAGTGGCGCAGCACTGGTCCTGGCATCTCGCTGGGGAGTTTCAGTTGGCATTATTTGAGTGTAGCTCAAGTGAACACACTCGGTAAGAGTGTTCTAAACATTAACTTCCCAGGAAGTGAGTTAACAACAATAAAAGCCCTTCCTTGAGTTAAAAACAAAGCCCTTTTCTTTGTGTTTCTGGGGAGAAGTTCTTTCCCATCAGCTGACTGGGCTAACATTTTTGGGAGGGTCTGCGGTTCCTGGAGCCCCTGAGCAGGGCGGTGGTGCAGCCGTGGGGGTAGCTCTGGGGGGAATGGGCGGGTCATAGGGCTGACTTGGGGGAAGGTTGTGTGTGGTGTGGGTGGGTGTAGCCAGGCTCCTGGGTAAGGACCCTCTTTTGGAAGAGCAAAGTGTTAGGGAGCAAATAGACCACCCAGGAGGGAGCCACACCTGTCCCCATGGAGACCAGGCGGCTGGGGTCTAGCCCATTGCTGTTCCTCACGGGATCTCGGTCCCTGTGGAACCTCCTAGGGATCTAGGGAGTCCCCCACACTCAGTGGAGTCCCTGTGTGGCCCCTCAACCTTGGGCAGGGGCACAGTAAGGTCCCCCATGGCAGTGATGAGGTTGCCAGTGCTGTCAAAGAACCTTGGGCTCAAATCCAAACCCTACGTAAGTAGCTGTGACCTCACACAAGTCCCTGCAGGAGCCTGGCTTTCCTGCAATGTGGCAATGGTGACAATTCATAATAACCATGGCACCTCCTCAGGAGGGTCTGGGGAGGATCAGTGAAGTCCTGGTGCCAAGCTCCTGGCACAGTGCTAGACACACAGAACTCTGAATGAGCCTCTCTCCACCCCCCACCTAAAAAGAATAAAGACCTGCCTCTGGGGCTGCCTGAAACCAGACTGATATTTGCGCATCTCAGGAGTGCTGCTGGCAGAGTGGTGCGAGTTGGGCAGCTAACCACAAGGTCAGCAGTTCAAAGTCAACAGCCGCTCCATGGGAGAAGGAAGAGGTTTTCTGCTCCCGTAAAGAATCAGGGCCTCAGAAACCCAAAGGGGGCAGTTCTTCCCTGTCCTGTAGGATCACTGGGAGTCAGAGTTGAGAGCGAGTGTGGGTTTGGGTTTGGAAGGAGCCCTGATGGTACAATGGGTGAAGTGTTGGGCTGCCAACTTCAAGGTCAGTGATTCAAATCCAACAGCCGCTCCGCAGGAGAAAATCGAGTCTGGCTGCTCCCAAAGAGATGGACAGTCTTGGAAACCCTATGGAGCATTCTGTTAGGTCCTAGCTAGGCCGCTGGGTTGGAGTGGACTCGTCAACAACATGGGGGTGGAGACCAAGCCGGAGGCTGCCTAGGGTGGTGGTCAGCTTTCCCAACTGAGACACGGAGGCTAAAGCTGTGCCTGCCTTGCTGACTGCACCAAGCCCCCCTCCCCAGGTGGGATGCTGGCGGGAAGACACAAGTTTCCCAGCTACCAGGACCCACTCCCCGCCACAGACAGAACCCTGTCTCACCCCCTCCCTGGTCTCAGAGCCTGGTCCTGTCCTCATCCCCTCCAGCCGTTCTCTAACCAGATGCCAGTGGGAGCTTTCTAAAGCACCCCAGGGTCCTTGCTGCCCCCCCCCTCCCCCCCCCCAAGTCCTCAGCCTGGCCTCTGTGGCCTCTGCCGGCCTCTTTGGGTGACATCCTGACTCACGTTCTAACCGCCACACTCCATCTCCCCCACACTCCATGCCGCCTGCCCATTCCCTGAGGCCAGGGGTCAGCACACTGTGGCTCTCAAGCCAGATGTGGCTCTTTTCCCGACAGATGTGGCTCTGAAGTAAAATTGAAAAAAAATTAAGGAGAAAAAAAAGAAAAAAATTTAAGGGATATTTATTATTCAGTTAGTGGCGATTTCATTTGTTTGTAAAAATATACTTGGGGCTCTTGAGTAACTTTTGCGAGGGACAGGATTGGGTCTTCCATCTCAAAAGCTTGCTGACCCCTGCCCTAGTCTGCTGACCCTCCCCAGTCCCATCTTGTCAAGGTCGGCCCCGCTCTGCTGGGTCCCAGACCAAAATGACTACCATCAGGTTGACGCCACTTCATAGCGACCCCATAAGGCAGGGCGGAGCTGCCCCTGGCGGTTTTTGAGGCTAACTCTTTATAGGAGTAGAAAACACCATCTTTCTCCAGAGGAGCAGCTGGTGGTTTTGAACTGCCAACCTTGCAGTTGGCAGCCCAACAAGTAACCACGACGCCACCAGGGCTCCTTGGGCTTGCTCTACTGTCTAAGAAATCCCTAGGCTGGTTCATCAAGATGGTCACCAAACCCCAGGCCAGATGATCATGCGAAAGAGCTCTGAGTGGGACCATGGGAACTTTGGGTTGCCCAGTATGTGCAGGTGACGCCATTCCCCACCATGACCACCCAAGGAGGCCCACCAGAGAGAACCAAGGCCCAAAGAGCGATGATGGCTCAGCCAGAGCCTCGGACCAAATCTCAAGAGCCAGGTCTCCTGTGTAGACGGGCTCCGCTTGGGCCTAAGCACCCACCTGCCAGGAAAACTGAGCCCTACACACAGGGAAGGGCAACTGGGAAGATCAGAACCAGAGGCCCTACCCTGAAACCTAACCACATGGGGAGCTGAGGGCAGCTCCAGGGGCCCCCATGCAAAGCTTTGTGGGGAGTCTGGGGTGTGCTGCTCTCAGGGAGAACCCTAGGCTCTGGATCCCATGTGTCATTTCTTGGTCTCTGCTCCCCATGCCCCTTCATCCTAAGAGGTCTCAGCCTGGGAGACAGGAAGGAAGGGTGGTCGGGTGGCTGAGGGTTACACCTCTCCAGATAACCTCGTGAGCATGAGAGCCAAAAAAACATCCCCCAGGTAGGTCACCTGCACAGCCTTCCCCTCGGGCAGGGAGGGTCCTGTCTGCAGTTTCATCCACAAAACAGCTCTGACTTGGGAGAACTCTCTTTACCATCCAAGACCCTTTGGGCATCCTCCTGGGCTTCAGTTGACATCAGATGATTTGGCATCCTCCTGGGCCCAGTGCCACCCAATGCCTCCCTTAGCAGAGTCCAGACTCTGTGCACGGGGCCTTCAGACACACCCATTTCTCCAGCCAGGACGTCCCAGAGTCCCAGAGGTAAAGTCTGGGTCATCTCCCAGGGCGGCTGCCAGTCCCTACAGGCTGACTCACTAGTTTGGGATCAGCTCATCCTGAGACCGTGGTCGGCTTCCTGACGCTCAGTAACTACCTTCTCCTTCCTCAATGCCTATGACCTCTAAGTCAACAGGCTGTCACCAGAGGCGTCCATGGTATGTGCTGGTGTCTGGTCTGGCTTCTACAAGGCCAGCTCTAGGGCCCAGGAATCATGACCTTGGCCCAGTCACAAGTTAATCTGCCCGCTATTCCATCCTGATGAAGACCATGCAAAGGGCCTCTCTCAATTGTATGATCAGAATGGGGTCTTCAGCACACCAGCCTGTATGATCACAAGGTGTTCATGGGAACGGGTATTAGGCATCGGAAGACCTATAACAAACAATCGTATCGATGCAAACAAGGGGAATTGGAGTGGAGACCCAAAGCCCATCTGTAGACAATTGGACATCCCCTCACAGAAGGGGATGGAACAAGCCCGCCAGGGTGCAGTATACATAATGGTGAAACATTTAACATTCCTCTAGTTCTTTAATGCTTCCTTGCCCCCACTCCCCAACTATCATGATCCCAATTCTACTTTACAAATCCAGCTAGACCAGAGCATGTACACTGGTACAGATAAGAGCTCTTCACACACGGAATCCAGGACAGATAAACCACCCAGGAATAATAATGGGAGTAGCAATATCCTGAGAGTAGGGGGGAGGTGGGGGAAGAAAGGGGAGACTGATCGCAATGATCTACATATAACCCCCTCCCAGGGGGATGGACAACAGAAAAGTGGGCAAAGGGAGACAACATATGGTGTAAGATATGAAAATAATAATATATCATTGATTAAGGGTTCATGAGGTGGAAGAATGGGGGAGGGAGAGGGAGAAAAAATGAGGAGTTGATACCAAGGGCTCAAGAAGAAAACGTTTTGTAAAGGATGATGGCAACCTATGTACAAATGTGCTTGACACAGTGGATGTATGGATTATTATAAGAGCTGTAAGAGCCCCCAATAAAATGATTAAAAAAAAAAGAATTGGGTCTTTCCTCTGGGACCCTGTTTCTCTCCACCAGACACACACGGTACCCCCCTCTGGACTTTCTGGTCTACCTTGTCCTGTTCCTCAGCAGACAGACTTGCTCCCTTGTGAGTAATATCCAGACTTCTGTCCCCTTTGACTGTCCAAAGGCTGCTGTCTCTCCTGCCTTTGCTCTCGGATCCTCCACCCAGCTTACCCGGCCCCACACCAGCAGGATGGGTCACCATTTGTCCTAGCTGAGGCCCATGCCTTTGCTTGATGTTCTCTGCACGCAAAATCCTCCAATCTTTTGGGCTCCCCAAGACTCTTGCCCCCCACAGCCCATGTGCACTGGTCTCCGCTGAAGCAATGGGGCCGGACAATGGGGAATTGCACCCCAGGTGAGGACGTAAGTGGTGTGGAGGCCACATCTCACTGCCTCCAGCTCCCAAGCTGGCTGCCACCCACGTGGCAGAGATCAGACATGCCTCCGTCCCTCGGCCGGTTCTGACAACGACCATCACTCTCACCGCCCGTTTTACTTCTTCAGCTGGGTTCCAGGACTCACTTCATTGCAATAGCCGCATAGAACTCACAGAAGAGGCTCATGATGATGGTTTATTTAAGACAGAAAAAAAATTTTTAGGGAGTTAAAAGGCTACAATTTGGGTGAGAAATGCTCAAGATGATGACTGTTTCTTCTCTGATGTCCCCAGAGGCAGGTCTCTCTCTGGAGCCTCAGCCACTTGGGCTGCCTTCTGCCCAGCTTGGGCAAAGTTACAAAGCACTTTTGAGGCTGCCAATACATGACCAACAGGCATGCCACTCCACCACAGGCCTCGGCCAGGAGGCACTCGGCGTCAGAGCTCCAACTCCGTGAATCAGCAGTCAGTGCCCCCAATTAAGCACCCAGAGCCACCCCACTCTACTAGCCATCTTGCCCCAAAGCACCCACCTTGACTTGCTCTGTGGGCTGGGAATGTTGTCCCCCTTCTCATGTTCTGCTTCCTGGTCCTGTTTCTCCTCTGCCCCCCACAACCCCTGGGTGTCAAAACTGTCTTGTCTCTTGGATCAAGGAAGTTCAATGTTCAAGGATCTCTGGGTGCATATGATACATTCCACTCCTAATTGTCTGCTTTTGCTGGTAGTGAGATGTCCCCTCCACCTGCTTCTGAAGTGGCTAATTTTATACACAGCAGGATGGCCACCACAATCCTGGTCACAATCACTCACAGCTGAAGCATATAATCATACCACCACCACCCACACACCAGGAGCTTCCCCCACCTTCTTACCCAGACCCTCAGGGAAAAGGCCACTTGGTGGGAGTCACCAAGGCTATAGCCAAAAGAGCCATGTTCAACAATTCACCACATTGCATTGCACTAGAGGAGGCTGGTTAACCTTCTCCAAGGTTGGTCTCCCCCAGAGCCTGATGGGAACCACCCCTAAGGTGTTGGAGGGTCCCCAAAGGGAGAGGGGACCTCTCAGGCACCACCCTCCACTTTAAGGAGATGTGTCAAGACTCAGCCTGGCTCTTGGGAAACCCTCTCCAAAGCTGGGAAGGGGCCCCTCCCCTTCTCCCACCTCCCCTCCCTGGCCACTGTGTGGACCATCTAAAACAGTCGCTCTCAGTAGCCTGGCTACCTGCTAGAACCCCCTAGAGAGCTTTGTGCCTGGCCCTACCCCCCTCGGGGACTCTCCCTTAATCCATCTGGCTCTTGAGATTTTTAACAGCTTCCCCAGCCTACTTAATGAATAGCCTTGATATAGATTCTAGAGCTGAGGCAATCCTCTTTCTGCTTTGGCGGCTCTCAGCGCAGTGCTTCGGCAGACATGAGTCGCAGGGCCATGCAGGTTTGTGGGGGATTTTGAACTGCTATCGGTGTTCCACAGGGAAGGCTGTGGTGTCCGCTGAGAATGGTGAAAGGTGATTGTCAGAGGAAGGAATGTTCCAGCTAATGAGCAGTTAAGTAGACTGAGCGGGCAGAGAGAGGAGTCCAGGCAGATCAGACTAGCTTGTGCAAAGACCCTGTGGTAAGAGGGAGAACTGAAGTGATGCTGGGAGAGGAAGAGTGGGACCTGGTGATGCTGGAGGTATGCTGCCAGCACCACTCCGGGGTGGTGGAGGGAGACGAGTGTACCAACTGGGGAGACGCATCAGTGGGGCGCCATGGCAAGTGTTCAGACAAGCAATGATGGAGGCTGGGATGGAAAGAGCTGAAGAGAGAGGTGGTAGTTGAGGGGTGAGGGAGAAGTCGATGGACATGAGGGACCTAGGTGAGAGCCCCTTGATAGAAGACTACGTGTAGACAGGCTGAGATGTGGGAGAGGAGGAGGATTAGGTTGACCAGGGAGGTAGGCAGCACAGAATGGACCAGAGTCCGAAGGGAGGAGTCCAAGTCTGGGGTAGGTGGAGTCTGAGGGGCCGTCAGACAGCTAAGGCAGTGGTTCTCAACCTGTGGGTGGTGACTCCTTTGGGAGTCAAACAACCCTTTCACAGGGGTTCCCGATTCATAACAGTAGCAAAATGACAGTGATGAATTAGCAATGAAAAAAATTTTATGGTTGGGGGGTCACCACAACATGAGCTGGATTAAAGGGTCACGGCATGAGGAAGATTGAGAACCACTGATCTAAGGAAAGGGGCCCAGTAGGCAGTTGGATATGAGGGCTTGCCTTCAGAGGAGAGGTGAGAACTAACAAGATTGGGGGGCGGGGCTTTATCAGGGTACACGATGGCAATGGAAGCCATGGGTGTGGATGAGGGGGGTGGGGAGCTAGCACGGGATGAGAAAAGGCCCCAAGACTTCAACTCTCTAAGGAGGAAGAGGAGGCTGCAGCAGAGTCTGAGAGGTGAGAGGAAGACCAGACACGCGAGGCATTCTGGTGGCAGTGTGTGGCTTCAAGAGCACAGGTGGGGTCCCCTTCGACAGGATGCATGCATGGTCAAGGGAAGGGAGGAGACTAGAGAAAGTGGGAGACTAGGGGGCTGCAGTCCTGTGGGTGAGCCACCCTGTGCCGGAGGCTGTGTGCAGCACCAGGAGCTGGGACTTTTCTTCACCTAAAGATGGGGCCCATCATTTTTTTTTCCCTCTGTTGCCCAGGGCTAAACCTTCCATGGGGGTGGGGGGTAGGGCTGGAGAGCCCGGAGGACATTCATGTGGCTAGGTGTCCTGTGTGAAGCATCTTTCAGATGTTTTGTAAAGAAAATGCCCTTCCCTGTCTTGGTACTGCCAATGGCCCTCTCCCCTGGCGTGGGAACCAGAGGCGGCCAGTATGTCCTGTCTCCCCTGCATGGTCATCCCTCCAGCCCTCCGGCCATCTCGCTGCTGGGCAAGGATAATAGGGACACCAGGCAGGCCTGTGGAACTGTCATCTTTTTTAACTGTCCTTCAAAACTAGCAGGTGTTTGGGAATAAAGAAAAAGTAATAAAGTCTCACCGCTGGTTGCTGTTACAGTTAATAAAGATCTTGGATTAAAAAAAAAAAAAGTGGGAGACTAGAGATGGCTCTTCCACCAATTCAGGTGTGAAAGGGGTTCAGGGCCAGGTGCTTTTCTTTGACCATGGAAACTTTTCTTAAACCACCTGCCTGCTTGACTATCCACTTGCACACGTTTCAGGGATAGGCAGGAACTGGGGAGCGTGTGAACGGGGTATCCGGTTCAAAGCGCACTGAACCGTGGAATCTGCTCGGGTAGCGGGGCATCACCCCCAGGTGCTTGGCCCTCAGTCACCAGCCTTCAAATGGAGATGGATTTCACCTGAGGAGGCTTTATTACCTCCGAATGGCTTCTCCCTTTGGTACTGCAAAGGGGTAGGATTCCATTTGTATTCTGCTCTTCCCTCTATGGGGGGGGAAAGAGAAAGAGAGGCCAATTCCAGTTTGTTTGTTTTTAAAGGAACCTTTTTGGAAGACCCAGTGAATATGCTCCCAAGCAACCTCCACTTCACAAACTCAAAAGCATTGTCAACTTCCATTGTTAGTCTGCCTTCCTCTTCACAGGCACTGGGCTGTTCAAGGTCACTGCTGTTCTCCCCTCCTGGAGATCCCGAGCTGTGCCATCCTCACCATTGTCGGAGCCCATTGTTGCAGCCACCACATCAAGCCATCTTGCCTGGGGTCTTCCCCTTTGTCTCTGCCCCTCTACAGAGCGTGACTTCTTCCTCCAGGCCCTGGTCTCTCCAGATAACAAATCCAAAGTACCGTATGTACTCGTGTATAAGCCGAGTTTCTCAGCACCTTTTTAATGCAGTTTTGGTGCTAGAATTAGGGACCTCGGCTGATAGTTGGGCGGCTTATACTTGAGTATATACGGGACTTGAGCTCAACTCTCACCATCCTTGTTTCTACTTTTTTTTTTTAATCATTTTATTGGGG